AAGAAAAAAGAAAAGAAGTAAATATTGTTACTGTGAATTTCACAAATAAGTTGAACTGAAAGTTATATTTTATTAAGTTTTAGTTTAAAATTTTACCATCCTGCATCATTAACTCATAAATATAATAGCTATTTTTATTCGATTAACATTGTTCATATTGATGTTCTCAATTGGTTTTTAATATTTATTTGATTGTATTAAAATTAATTAATTAAGTATCCAAAAATAAATAGAGCGGGAAAATATGTGCTTATAGTAAAGTCACGTATCAGTGTAAGATCAATTTACTGTTAGAAATATTAAATTTTTATATTTTGAATTTTTAAGATCAGATTAACTATTATTTTTGTAATAATCGTGCATCAGAGATCAAACAGTCTGAATCACCGTCACAATAATACCACAGTCTAAAAAAGTTTCTCAGTTCACGTTATACTACTAGAGCAAAGTTCGTTATGATTACTGCATCAAAGAACAGCTACACCTGTGATTGTAATATTTATTATATAGTAGCTAGTAAAACAAATATGCATATAAATTAAAAGTCAGTACCTACTAGGTATGCCAACAACGGGTCCGCGTAGTAGCTGCAGCCGTAATATTACTTAAAGTGTATTCGGAGGTGAAATCTTTTTACCCTTAGTTTCTTCCTTGTTAGTAGATAATTTTATATTAAATATGCCTACAGATATTCTAAAACTTGAATTGTCATAGATTTAACGTTCTATAATATTACTCTATTATATATATATATATATATATATATATATATATATATATATATATATATATATATATATATATATATATATATATCTTACACTTACTTACTTTATTTACTTACTTTTTACTTCAGTTAGTTAATAAATAAGTTACAAACAGAAAATTCCACACAGCTATCCTGTTTATGTAATAGGAAGAAAAGCCAAGTGATCACTGGTATCTTATAAAGGTCATAAACAGTTGATGATATTGGCCACAAACAGCGTTATAGTTTATTAACTCCCTACATGACAGTTAAATCGTTTATATGCGTCACGCGACCTTTACAAACTAGTGTTGAATAGTCACCAATATTGAAGTAATAAATAATACGTAACAACATCTTACGCACGTACAGTATAGAACACAGATGTGGTTTAAATAGATATCGCAACTGTATAAAGAATACTACTTTGCGTTTCAACTTTTGATTCTAATATAGGCTCAAACGGGAATACAACTGAATGAATGTTGATTCGGAGTTCGAATAAAAATTTATTTTTATTAAAAAATATGATTTTTTTAAGAATAATCGGATGATTACAAAATAGACTCTATTCTTATGACACTATTAGTAGAAGTGATATTTCTGCCAATTCAATGTCCAATAATACTGCATTCGTAGCTCAAGTTATATACCAGAATTAAATCAGTGCGGTCCTGCGCCACTAAGAAAGCATGTTTTAATCATTAATTAAAATGTGTTAGATTTATTTTTTATATTTGACTAGTACCTAGATATCAATATTGATTTAGTTAATTAGTAATTGTAAAAATACACCTATGTGATTAAAAAAAATGAATTTAATGTTTTTTTAGTTTATAAGTTTGTTTATAGGAATATAAAAAATATATAATATATTCACCCCTCACCTGCTCACCTCACGCCCCGCTAGATATCTAGCGAGGTGTTTTATGTTCTGTATTTTACTGATATTTTGTCTATGTCGTGTATAAATTGTCTGATTGTATGTAATGTCGTTAGACCTAATAGTAAGTGAGAAAGGAAGGGATGGGAGAGCCAGTACTACGTGTGTGTGACTGTAGGTCGTCATATATGAACTTATTTCCGCTAGTCGAATAATATGTTTTATCTACTTATTTTATATAGTAACGAGCTGCTTTTTAATATTTATATATAACAAAATAATTTATTAATTGAGTATAAACCTGTAACAATCCTATTTAAGTAAGGGGAAGGGTACATTTTGTCGGTATCGTTGCAGTCACACAGGAAAGCATATGAGTACTCACATTATACACTTTTATTGTAATGGCACACTTTAGTATTAATATAAATTAATTTAATATTAATCTGCAACACCTTCTTGCGCTCTCTAGTATATCTATATCTGCGGCATGTAGTTTGTCATACCATATTTTGGTTTTTTCACGACGCCATTACGTCACGTGTAAGTCATAAAAAGTAATGAGAGTAGCGTATTTTAATTATGTGTCGCAATTTTAATTAGTTTCACAAGTCTGTAGATCAAATAGGTACTGAATATAAGATGAATGAAAATAACAAGTTGTAAAACAACATATAGCTACTTATATTTATGGCAAAAACAACCCGGAATCTGCAAACAGAAATAACAAGGCTCTGACGTATTTAGGTATATTTTATATACCGTTCCAGTAGTTTTTATTTTTTAATGTAATACGCACGTGTCTTATCTTATATAAATGTGAAAGTTTGTTATTCTTAGTGCCATATTGGCTCAACCATTCGTCTTGAAATATGACACATATTTTGTATTCGGAATGAAGAACCATGGTATCGCTCAGCACTATTTCTGAACATAAGCGCTTGGTTATATAATCATTTTTTTATGTAACTCAGAATATCAAACACACTGAAACGGTTCGCATGATGAAAAGTGGCAATCACCGCTCTTAGACACGAACCGCAGTATCACAGAATACTTTTTGGATTGGCAATATTGTAGATTGGGCAATACTCTAATACTTCACTGCCATATATGTCTTCAAAAGGAAATACACGTAAGAAACACGAGTGGAACATAGATGCATATGTAGACGACTTGTACAAAATCCCACTTTGAGGAATATTATAATTAAATATATACGTTAGCCGTTAACTATTACCTGCTAAACATAGGCCTCCCCCTATTGGCGAGGGGGGGGGGATGTATCTTTATGTGAAAATGAACCACTTTAACTATTTCAAGTAAACCAGAATTAGAGACTGCTCTTAAAAACTGTAGTTTGTGATTTAATACCTACATTTAACCTTGTGTTCTTACTATGGTATGTTATTTTATATTGTTTTATTATATAACAAACCAATGAAAGCATTTATCACACTAAGCACGTATCTATTGAGCTATAGCATCTAAACATATGTACTTCATATTGTTCATTCCCTTTAAGGCTTGTACTGACCGCAGATAAAGTTTAAAAATCCTTATTAATATTATAAATGTGTAAGTGCGTTCAATTGTCATCTCTTGATGCCTTAACGGCCTCAGTTAATCGTCATGAAATTTAGTATTTGTATATATAGTATTTGGGTTGAAGGACATAGTTTACTTATCATTCCGGTAATTCGACATAGCATGAAGACATGCTGATTATTTACACACCCTGATTATTTATAAAAATTAGATACTGTACTTCTATAAGAAGTTCATTAAAAAAGGTTGGGATGACTTATTTGATAATAAACTAATTATGTATATTTTTTTATTATTTATAGTTTTATTTCTTAGTAGTTCATTATAAAGAATTAATTAAATAAATTAGTATAAAAGGGGGAAAATTTTGAAATATAATCACAATTACATAGATATATAACTAGTATTATTTTATTCGGAGTAAATCCATCAATAATTCCAAAAATAATCATAAATATCAACAAATATGGCGAATATATCGCATAACATACAACAAATAACATCGAAATGAGAACTTCCTTTTTAAGTCACTTAAAAATAAGTAATTATCTACTATGTAATTGGGTTAATATAAACCAACTCCTAATAAGTACACTTGTTAGCACAGTTTAGTATTAATAGACCACGTACTGTATTGTTAGTTATGTTAATGTAATATATACACTGATGTTTTAACACGCAAAAATTACTCTTTGTTACAACATAACATGATAATAGGCTTACTCATTGGTGATTCTTAAATTAATAAAACAAGTTTTCAATGAATTGAACCGATTAATTATTTAAATAATACAAATTTTTTAAATACCTTACTTAAGCATATTACTTATAAAAAAATATTTTATATTAATTTTACAAATTACTAATAAAATTAATAATTTACACCTTATCTTTGAATAACAATTAAATGGTTGTAGCAAATTCACAAAAAATCAAAAGGGTAAGAAGCTTTTTAATTTCATAACTGGTTTCCTCAAATCGAAATAATCATTCAACTGATTGAATAATTAAATTTGTTACTAATTTCATTTAGCGACTATTTCTGTGATTATTTCTAGAACTTGGTTACCTTTTTATTAATTTTTATTGAAATAGACGCTAGGTCTACTTTAATGGAAATTGATCTATTTGGATTTCAACACACTAAATATATATATAATGGATGCCTGTTATTTGGACAAGTGACTAGGGACATCAACACTACATAAGCACGTGGCGTCCGAGTCGCGACGCAACCGCGACGTGACGCGGCCCGCGCAAGGGCGTTGCTCTACCATAACACAGTACGTCACAGATCTATCCCGAACACTCGACACGCCTATTCTATTGGTTATGTTTAAATTTAATTTAATTTTCAGTGAATATCCTTTATAAAAAACACATACACACACACCTTTTCCTTTATTAGGGAGGGAAAAAGATAAGAACGTCAAATACTGTATAAAATAAAAATGTTAAATCTTTTAAGATATTGTAATTTAGGTCTAGAGTTTATTTTTTCAAAATGCTTAATTCCTAGAATATTATGAGTCCTATGAATTTAACATTATGTTTAAATACCTATTCATAATATTTTATTCACTTTAAGAGACCCTTAGAAGAGACCTTAACATTTAAAAATAACACACATTAAACATACAATATATTGCGTCAGTTTTTTTATCCGTTGTAAAACAAAATTATTGAAATTTATTGTAATGTAATAAAATATATGAACAAACGACATCCTAATGTTAATTTAATTTACATAAAAAACTGATAAAAAGTAAATAACATTAATGATAGAACGATGATAAAATTGTACATTTTGTATTGTTACAGCCTTCCGGTTTACTAGAACAACCTTTATCGTACAGCTGTATGCAAGAGGTATACTGTATATCACGCTGGGATTCTGCGAGAAAGTACTGCTTAAGAATTGTTATGCCTCTTGGATCTCTACTTCTACAGGTTGATAATATTTAATTAGACTCTAAAAAACTATATACGTAGATTATAATGTCTGATGGCGTTCCCTACCAATCTAAATGGAACTAAATGGAAAGATTTTCCTATCAAAAAATAATCGAATATTTCTTCATACATATTCTATATATTTATATGTAATATAATGTATACCTACTTACTGTTGGGCACGGGACTTTCCTCTTATGGACAAAATATGTAGTATATTTGTTTTCGTGAATCACCGTTCATTATGTTTTATTTCTACATCCCAAAGGTTGACAGGGAATTATAAAGGCATTAAATTCACGCTAGCCAGTTTTATATTTAGTCTTCTATATTATTCTATTTTTCTCTTGCACTGATGTCTTGTTACGTTACTCGCTGTTTAGGACTTCCTAAGAATAAAAATGAGTACAGATAATATTCTTACTAAATCTCTTTAGTTATTAAATAAGTTATTTTCGCTAATCAATTGTATTTTTACTCTTACTATAATAAATAATAATTAATTAATTATATCTAAAAACTAAAACTGAGACGCATCATCTTAATTTAATAATTTTATAATCATTATAAAATTATAAAACTTTTTTGATCAATTTTAAATCATTATACAATTTTAATCATCTAAAAGTCTTTAGTTAGATAATTAAAGTTTTTGAGGTCAAAAGAATCAGGTAGTATATTCCAAAGATTAATGGTTGAGATGGTGATGGTTAAGAGGATATAATTATGTACATATTATTAACGTAATGTAATAAATAGTCCAAGGCTGTAATTGGAATTCTATACGCACATATCAGGATCAACCGCTGGTTTTTATTTCTGCGAGTGTCAGTGTAGATGCATCTACATATATTAATATTTTTTGTGGTTATAACAAACACGTATTGTTAACTAATAACAATAAATTAATTCTTGATAATTCTAATTTATCTCTTAAATCAAGTGTAAAATTCAGTGTATTCTAAAACCACAAATTCACTACATAAATTTTACAATGTGTTAAATAATAATTAGAAAAAAAAGATTCCCCGATAGTGCTCTCCTTTTTCCTCTATATAACGTGATTTACCTTAAATGTATACTATAATCTAAAATATGTACATAGTATAATATATAACGACAAATAATATATTTGGGCAATAGTCACATTTAAATACGATCTCAAATTGTTATAATATGTACCTATAGGTAAAAAATATAATTACTGAAATTTACTTAGCTAGACAAATTCAATGCCTAATGTACAGAATGCAGGAGTCTAATGTTTGTTTGTTATTTCTAGGCAAATGACGCATATACGAGGGACCAATGGTACCATTCTATTGTGTGGAGGGTAAATATAATATTTTTCCTTCTTACCATATATTTCCATATAAATATTACCAATTACAATTTATTAATAAAAACAATAATTTTCAGAGAAATATTATAAGATACAAGAAATTTCTTACCAAGACCATAAGGAAGGAAGTAGTCATGAAAGAATTAAAGGTTGGTAGTCTTTAAAGTTTCTAAACTTATAGAGTTTTGGTACATATATCCAAATTCGAAAAAGGAGTAAAGGAGGATGAATTCTCAATTTATTTGTATGTTTTTTTTTTATATTCGTTACCTCATACAATTGATTTTTAACTGACGAACAGTTGTAAATTAACACAAAAATTATTTTTTTATCTGAAATGATATGCTTAAAAATTGGTCCCAAAGAAATTTTATCAAAATTGGCTGAGTAGTTTAGTTTATAAATCAAAATAACTGGTTTTGCTACAACTGAAGTTGGTTTTTTGTGGAAAACAATCTTAATTATTAAATACAAAAGTTAATGTTTAGTAAATACCTTAATTACTTAATCAAGTAAATTTCATGAATAAATTATAATTCTTTGCAAGATTTTTTAAGCTCATGCTTTATTTGTAAAATGAGTCCCTATCATTTACAGACATCGCACTCCATTCCTGTACATATTTACTAAGTTATGTTATTATTTTCTAGAACATGGTGGATTTCGTCATGACCACTCCTTTGCAAGATGAAAGTGTGACGCGTGACCCTCTTCAGATACTCACCAGCTTATTATCAGAGGTAAAATATCGTCAAAAAGCACCATTATCAATTATGTCTTATCTAACAAGTCTGAGATCGTAAATTCGTCATGATCGGTATAATATTTACGAAAAAAATACCTTTTTCTATTGGTGTGTATGTTTGAATTGATTTGAATTTAACCTTTTGTTGAGGTTAGAAGTATTTTATGCCTATCACGATCATTTCAATAAGTAATCAATATACTAACAGAATATCGATTGATATTTTATTAGTTTTAACAAATTTAAAAATAGAAACATGAATTGAAAAGGAATTATTTATCTAAAATATCCAATCACATAAATCTTTCGTTCTTGTCATAGCAAATTATGTCCATAAATGCGTCTGTCAGTATTTTCACTAAAATATATATTAAGTTTATTATTAGTACTTATACCTACTTACTTATAAAAACAGCGATAATAGAGTATAACATAAAAACTGATGTTTATTTCGCGTAATGTTTCTTACGTTACCTACAAATTGACGTAATATCTGTATACTTTCAATTATAATTTTATAATTATTAATATAGAATGTGTTGTGTATATACACAACACATAACAACAAATATTTAGATATGTTAATAAAAACATTTATAACAACAAAAATATTTACTAATATTAACTATTATTAATAATATCATATAAAAGTGCGAAAAAATAATACCTATTTACTTATCGTTTCATAGAAAAAAGACAGTCCTGATTGGGAAGAATGGGCAGAAAGCGCAACAAGCGTCGCTGCCCCCTTATTAGCGGAACGATGTGCATCAGGAGAGCTTTGCGCCCTGCTGGCTCGCCTGTGCAGAAGGAGACCACGCGCCGCCCCGCTGCCCGCTCTCGCTCCACCTGTGCGCCGTGTCCTCACCCGGAATGTGGACTTTGCGAGGGCACCAAATGCTCGTCAACTAGTCAAAGATTACATCAGGTATGTTATCTAAACAAAAAGGGTACTTAATGTTAGTATATTTCATAAATAATAAATTGATTCAAGACAGTAATCAATCAAATTTATTGACTTATTTGTTTATATAATCATGCCTGAATGAGCATATTAATTAATCTATACTAATAATATACGCCCTGTCCCTCAATCGAGCTGACCTCACAAATACATCTATAACCATACGAAAATCAAACTCGCCTAAATATATATATATATATATATATATATATATATATATATATATATATATATATATATATATATATATATATATAATATTGCATTTGTAATCTCTTCCAAACAACCCAATAATGTTTTAATTAATTATATATGTACCTATATAGAAAAAAACATGGTAGACTAGGTAGTACGTAAGTAGGTAGTAGTAATTTTGTTTAAATTTAGATCATAACTTTTAATCAAATAGATTTTAATCCGTATTAGTTTCATGTTCACTTATTATTTTATTTTGTTTTTGTCAGGAGTTGACTCTGATATTAGAGGGTTGGACAGTAGGTAGGTATGTGACATATTATTACGTGTCAACCCCTAGAATATTGTAAACGTATTCATACTCGTGTAACCAATCAGCGGAACATATTAACCTCATTGTCCTATTTCGATATAATATTATCACGTTAATTAGCTTCATCATTGTCTAACTAATTGCTGCTACATTGACGTCAATTGCCGGTTCTAAATTACATCTGAGTAATAATTATACCAACTTTCTTTGTGACATTGATTCTTAGTTATTAACAATCATTGTGGATTATACTTATAATAATATTAATAATGACATAAACGAATCGAAGACACAGAATGAATGAAGTAAGTAAGAACAATATGAATGAATCTATTTTGGTGCCATATTGTGATTTCGTATAATTAAATGTGATAATTTCTGTCATATTTTATAAATTTTTTTTTTTATACATAATTTCACATTATAGAAAATCAGAATTAATGGCGTCAGTTCTGAAGTACCATTTACTAATTACTAAAATTATAAATGTAATAGTCTGATATTATAGTAAGATTTTAACGAAATTATTATTCTAAGGATCAGTATAAACTATCTTTTTAAAAGAAAATATCAGTGCAAAGTTGTCAGATGAAATTGTTTATTTATATCCTATATGAATATAAATATCATCATTAAATATTTTTGCTCCAAAGCGATCAGATTTCTCCTACTATTACCGAAATATTGCGAGCACATTCTGCTATGTACCACAAAGCAAACAACAACAATAATATTAAAAATAATTCGTGAACACAATTATATAAAATATTAAGTAAAATAAATTTTACCCAAATATGCAAAACAAAAAACACCCAATTTGGTAACGCTCTCTTGATAACCGATATCAATAATATTAGCCCCTGTGCAATTTGTTCATCTCTGTTAAAATTACTACAGATGTTTTAATTTCAGTAATACATTAATTACTCAGTCGGTTAGTTTATTATTTTTTGTCTAAATCCAAAATTCGTCACGTACAATAACCTGCTGTTATTTAATATCACATTGTAAGTGATAAGGACTCTGATTGAAGCTGTGTTCGGTACAAGTGGATACTAAATCTATACGTAACGTTAACTGACGCACGATATTTACTTTAGTCTGTTGATAATGTTCAGGATCAAGCGTCTGCAACAACATCATTACATTTATTGATTATCGGAAGTTTACGCCTTACTACTAAAGGTCAAGTGAGACTCCACCGAGTACAAAGTGCACAAGATAACGAGTGGCGCCCCTTGATAGTTGCGACTAAAGACTAGGTACATCGCTGTTATGAATAATTTTTAAAATTATTTTCAATAATGTATAATTCTATAGCACACTCGCGATAACGTATTTCAATAGGTAATATGTTAATATTACCAAGATAAAAAAGATCCGATTTGTTAATTCAAGATCTAGGTATTAGGTATATGCTATATCCGACATTCCTTATAAAAATAAATGATCTGGGATATGGCAGGGAAATTACAAGTTACCGAGCCAAAACACCTTAGTCCTTACAAATCTTTTGTTAAGTAAACAGCAACCTAAATATTTTTAAATCACAACTCAGCGAATTCAACGGTATGATTGGAGGCTTTGGTTAGATCCTCCTTCGTGTTCTGCTCCGTTTTAACGACATCATATTACTCCTTATTAATGGCAATGTACAAGAAATACCACGAGCGTAATAGTGTAGTATATGCTGTCCATTTTGCTATTCCTGTCTACAGTACTTCTGCATATAAAATAAAAAATACATACACTCGACAACATTACTTTTTTATCTTCAGCAGTATGATAAAAAAAAACTGTTTGATTTCCGGGAGCAGCGCTTTGAGTGCGCACAACTCGGGCACGGCGCTCGTGCGCCGGTTCGTGGAGGTGACGCACGGCGGCCGCGCCGCGTGCCCGCACCCGCGCGCCGCGCCCAACCTCGCCGCCGTCGCACTCGCCGCGCTCGACGAGCACTACCGCCACTCGAAGCTGCCTCATCAGTGCGATGACAGCGAAGATGAAGTCCTCTGCTTTGCTGACATTTTGGAACATATGTAAGTATTCAATAGGACTATTACTTATATCCACGAGGGGAACAGAAGAAAACTTGGATTTGAATGTTTTTAGAAATGTGGTCAAATAAAATGTTACGGTCAAGATTTGTAAGTAGAATACCATAAAATTGGTCACTCAATTTATACCGACAGATAACAACACCTATCAAGATTAGATGATCTTGTCTGTATATCCGAAATCGGTAATTATGCATAAAGCGTTATAAAAGCGGATAAAGCAAGAGACATTTATAAGAACTTTAGATTTTAGCGTTCAGCTCTTTATCTCTGCCTATCCCGTAAGAGTCCTGACATGATAGTGGATAAAACAGCAAGAAATTAAATCTGGATTTCAGGTGTGAATATGAAGATTGGTTAGTCGTAGTAGGTGCTGTACTCCAGCCTGTGCCTTTATGTGTGGGGGCGATGAGTTGCCCGCGTGTCGCCCAGCGGCTGGGCAAAGTATTGGGAGCGCTGTCTCGGGACCAGCGGTGCGCCGCTCATGCCTGCGTGGCGCCAGCACGCGCCGCTAGATCATCACCACCTTCCTGGCTGAGGGCCGCAGCACCCTCAGATCCATTGTTAGCGCTGCCACAGCGACAATTATGTCAGCTCTGGGGGTCTATGGTAATTTTCAGAAATATTAATATGTAATTACAGTAATAAATATATACACATAAATCATACAATCATAGTCACACTAGTTTGCTTAATCCTCAAGCAAAATCAGACAACAAATATTGGATACAATACGAAATACTCAGATAGTTTTAAATTATTTAGTCTAATACCATTCGACCAAAAAATAAATACCTAGATGGCTATAATAAAGTAAATTAATTTTTGTTTTCAGATCGGCAGTTTATTGCATTGCTGTTGTAAAAGAAAAAGTTTTCTGCAGAGTCTTAGCAAACAATTGCCAGATTTCGTTATAGTTGCTTTAACAGAGAATGTAAGTTATGCCTTATTACTTTAGTAAATAAAAGAGTAAATAGGTTGAAAGTAAGAACATATGAAGTGAAGATACATGGTGTCACATCATATCTATAGTGCACCACATATAATGTCTATAGCATTACATTTTCAATGGCTTGGTCTAAAATAAATAACTTACTACTCGTTTATCTATATTTACTCTGTTATTGCATTTTTATTAATATTATACTTAAATATATACCTACCTAATGAAAATTAATTTATCTCTTGGCGCTTTAACGGGTCGACTTTGCTCTTTGGGCTCAGCCCGCATTAACGGCTCGACTTTACTCTTTGGGCTCAATCAAATACACATCAACAAACATCATGAAATTTGAATGAGTATTGTTTGTGCAGAAAGACGTGGGCTGTACATATTTTTTGGATCATATAAATAAAATTACGGGCACGCTAGTGATGTAATTATGTGGTATTGAATAAATCATTAAATATATTTTATATTGTCATTAATGTATTGCATTATATAAAATTACATAATATATTATAATAATTCCAGGCATCTGCATTGGAAGCTTTATGTCTAATGCTAGAATGGGAAGTAGCCAGCGGAGAGCAAACACAACTAGAAATAATAGCTGCATTACAAGGAACTGAACTTGGACAAAAATATTACAAAGATCTTTGTGAAAGACAACAAAACCTTCAGAGACTGGTAAGTTGTTACATTTATAACAGTGCAGAGATTTTTATAATTTCCATAATTCTGTTACAAAATTTCCTTTCAACAAGAATGCTCCTACAGATGAGACTTATTGGGGTGGAGGGGAGTCCTAAAAGATGATAAAAGATAAGTTGCGATAATGTCTATAAAATAACATGTCGTATTATGTATGTAGTTATTAGTTCTCTTATTTACAACATAACGACTATTATTATTGTGATATGATATAACACCAATTTTTTCCTTGATCAGCCTGATGTAACTGTGCCTTGGTCTCCGCCTTCCCCTCTTTTCTATCTTCTATTATGATATTCATGACTTCGTCATGACTTATCAAGTGTCCCAAAATATTCTCCTTTCTCATTTAAGAATACTGTGTCTTCGTATAATCAATCTCTATAAGTTAATCCCATATTGTAATATTACAACAATATAAGTAGATACTTAATGTATTATTTACCTGTGTCAAATGTTAAAAAATTACGCCTCACCGGTCAAGTAGAAATAATAAATAATAATACTTGGAATGTGACGTCAACTTCGTGAATACGCAATTTGTTTTTGTTTTGACCATCTATACTCATATTACTACGACATTTAGTAGAATTATGATTTATCCATAGCTACCTACATATAAAGATGACATGTTACATTTGTATGGATATTTTCATTATGAGTGACAATTACCTATTTATTTTGCGGTTACCGTGGGTAACTCGAACGTTAATGTTGTGCTAAATTTTTTTCTATACTAGAGAGATTACAAAACAAGCATACGATCTGTTTTATGTAATATTAAGCGTTTACTATATTTAGCACGCTTCCAATAGCATTTTTATTTCAGCTTTCACACCTTTTTAAAGAAACCCACGCTATAATTTATTTAAAAAAATCTTAATAAAAAGCTCCATCTATGTACCTGTACATTCACCGTATACCTGTGTATTTACAGAAAAAAATTTATATGTAACCACTTAGGTTTTAAAATATAAATTAATATGACTTAGGCACTGTTCTTATCATATGTGGGTGGACCTATTGATTTCCCATTATAAATATTCGTAGTGGTTTAGGTTCTTTTATATGATTAAAAGAGATATTTAATAAAAGGTTAACATAGTGATTCTATGGTGGAGGTAGTAATTCTGTGTATTTATGTGTATAATCTTGGCACGTATCCTACATATATACTATAGGCACAATAACTTTTTTTAATGGATGATAATGCAATGGTAACCCCGCTTGCGCTATCGGTATACGCTGGCGGAGCACCAGTGAGGGATGATTGGTGAAGATGAAAAAACAAGTCAGTTACCTCATCCTGACAAATTTAACGATAAGTTAGTCAAGATGGTTTCCAGGGGAACCGCGTGGAGGTCGACCTGATAAGGTATATTGATAGCAACGGGGACTGATCTCCCCATTACTAACAATCCCTTCCCCCCGGTCACAATAACTGGCCGAGTTATCTTTGTATTGCATTATTAAGATATGTATTTATTAACATGTTGATTAGTTATTTAGTAGGTATACCCTCGGCACAGATAGTATAATACCCCACGGTACAAGCACTGCTTATTTGGTACGGTAGAGGACGCTGTTTGATAATATCCAGGGCATTTGTGTTTTTGTATTATTTTTTTAATCCTGTTGGTTTTTTTATCATTTTACTATAATCTAAGCATAAGTAAGTTAATACCTATTTGAAATAGTATAAAGTGGTCACACTTACATTGTCCCATTGCTAATAAATGTAATATGTACTATATATAGCAAGCGGAGGGTGGTCCCAGGCGCTTGGCACTGCCGGTGCGCGCGACGGATGCGGACGTAGCAGCGCTGCTGGAGGCGGGTGCGCTCGGCAACCTCGAGTGCCTCTCGCTTGCTTTCACCAGCGTCACCAGCGCCTGCGCACACCACCTCATCAAGGTGAATGTCCGCATGTTTCACTTGTCAATGACAAATTTGTAGGTAGATATGTAAATAAACAATCTCTCAACTGCTGCATCGACAAGCCATACTCATTTTAGTATTTGTACTACAACTACCATAAACATCATGGTGATAAATAATTAACTAGCTCTAGGCACAGATAATATAATACTATACTAGTAAGATGCCTTTTAGTGCTTACTTGTCTTATTAAATAATCTTGATGTAATTCTTTAAAGAAATTTTGTACTTGAAAGTAAACCTAGAATATTAAAATATCATCTAATTCACCGCAAAACTTTATAATAATCATTGTAATAATCTGTTCGTTTCATTAACTGTTATTTCAATAGATAGGTTGATAATATTATGTTAGTTCAAATAAAAAATGAAATATACCAAATTTGGTACGTAAGGAAGAAAATTATATTTACTTCTAAAATATAAGCTTTGATTGAGTATCTCAAAAGGTAAAGGAGGAGTGTGCAAAAATTATGGTATAAAACTTTAGTACTTGCATCTTTGTCTACCTTACATGGAACACGTAAACATAAATAATGTTGCATGAGACACTTGTAAAACACTATGGCTATGGTCACTTTATTTCGAACTGTTACATTTGTTCTATTACTTATAGTGTCCGACCGAAACAGGTTTTAAAGTCGAAACCGAAACCGAACTTTCGGCCTTGATCTCAGTTTCAGACGAAACCGAAACTTACTGAAACATATTTAAAATTTCTCTTCTATATTGAAATCTTGTGAACTTTTTAAACAATTATTTACACAAACACACAGATAGTTAAAGGGTAATAATAAACACTAATTAGAGCATGTAATAAATATGTCATATATATTTATATGTAAAAACATGTTAAAATTATGACTTACTCTTAGAAGAAAACTTAAAAAAAACAACTTTCAGTTAGACACACACAACACAAACACACACACAAAGTTTTGGCGTGGCCGAAAATTTCGGCAAATTTTTGGCGAAAACCGAAGCTAAGGCCGAAAGTACAATTTCTGCCCAAAACTAGCCGAAACCGAAACCGCAAGTTCGGTCGGGCAATAATTACTTTTGAATTACTAATATTTTTTTTTTTTTATTATTGGCTTTCAATTTCGTTAAACAAAATTAAAATACAGATAGACGAGTAAATAAATAAAAATTAAGTTTATTTTAATTATTGCTAATTTCAGTTGCCTTCCCTCCGCTATCTAAACTTATGGGCGACAAAATTCGGTGACAGTGGAGTACAATTGATCGCGGAACATCTACCACGTCTCCAGGTCCTCAACCTCTGCGAAACGCCTGTATCTGATAAGGGAATTGAAGCGTTATCAGGTACAATTATTATAGATACTGTTAGGTACTTAACTATAACATACATTCAGTAGCTACATATTTATTTCTCATTACCATTGTTTTAATAGATACCGTATTAATGTGAGTAGATGTTTACTGTTTCAATTAAGTACTAAACTATTGTTACCTAGCACTATAGCAACTAACCATAATTTAATAATAGATAGGTTTCTAGATACTTTAATATTATACGAGTACAAACGACAAATAATTACGTTCACATGCAAATTGAACACTAAATCCTCAATATCAAATAATGTATAACTTATTTTGTAAGCATTCATTGTGGATAACAGTATTGAGATGTACTTTTTGGTGAAGAATTCCATTGTAGGTATTTACAATTATTTAATGCTGGCAATACTTGTTTCAGGCTTATCAAATCTTAGGCGGCTAAATCTAAATAGCACCAAGTTGTCAGCAGAAGCTTTCCAAATACTCCGCCAAAGGCTGCCGCACCTGCAGGAGTACGACATTCGTTACACAGAGGCATGGTGACAACAGAAGCCGATCCACCTAACCTCCTCCTCTAGCATATAATTTGTTCACGCACGATCTCAAGAAGAATCCTCCTAGAGATAATGTTTATTTAAACATTTACCCCCTTATTTATAAAAACGCCAAACCTTTACCTTGAATGATTGTTATAGGTATGCACAAAAATAATATTAATTCGAGTAGAAGACGGCGAAATACTCGCCCTCTGCTACGTTAGATTTTAATACGGGCATGCCTAATGGTATGTTTACCACGACGGCAACAATAGACAAATTTTCCTGACTACCCCATTAAGAATTAAAATCGTGAGCGTATATTTTTAATATTATTCTTTTATCTAATAAATGTAGTATTTTTCGTTATAGAGTTGAAAGATAGTGACAAAACAGATTAATAGTAAAATTAAGTTTTTGAAGGTTTTTTTACATTTTTATAAATAAGGTGGTTAGTGTTGTCTATGCACTGAATCCAGTAAATAATTCTGACCGTGTTTATTCAATTGATAAGCCTAAAATCCTACATATACAAAGTTGATTAAACACGGTCCACATTATAGTAAAATTGGTTAATAGACATAAGAATTTCTGCCACAAAAAAGTTCTGTACGTTTGTGTCGTCTTTTAAAATAAGACCTTATTTGAGATCCATTTGTCTGGCCCGTTGATGATTGTTCTGGTGTTCTTAGATTATAAGTAATTATCTAAAATATTCGAATTTAACTACGATAATGATTTAGTTAATTTTATTTACGCCAGAAATCCTACACACAGATCTTATTAATCTAATTATTATATTGCAACTTTCTGAGATTCCATTAATTTGCTGGTAGGTACTACTATAAGAAAATATTTAACAACTAACCTAATTCCAAAAATAATAAATACATAAACATATTTGGCCTAGTACCTATGTTTCCGTAACTGTTTACAAAACAATCTTTTTCAAATTATTATTACCTAGTATTTATTAGTACCTAGGTATTATCTGATTATTCTAGTAGTAACTACCAGACGATATAATTGTGGTTTGAGATTTGAGATGAACACCGCTTAGCGATGTATTTACATTATAATATTAACTTATTTATTTAATATTCTTAGATAGGATGTACAAACGATAGGTAGTTATAAATGTTATTTAAAATAAAACTATCTACGCTTAAACTTTAGTATTGTTATTTTTAGGAATATTTATAAGGTTACCTACGTTTTTGGGCTGTGAGAAAAAGAACCAACTTGAGTGTGTGAACATTGTGGAAAGTTTGGCTCTCATAAAATGTTGCCGCTGATATAATTTTTATTATTCCCCTAGAATATTTTGTGTAATATATTAATTATCTAGCAATAGAATTATAAAATACAATTGTTGAAAATTTTTACATTGGCTCACTTCAGTAGAGACCTATCATATTCACTACTAGTCTTTTTTTTTATATTACACTCTTTGTTAAAAGATTTGGCAGTCAGCAACAGTTATTGAATGTGCCTACACCTATCTTAGTATGTATGTACTGTTTCTAGATAATTCTGAGGCTCGGATCGTAATTTTAATCTTGGACAATATACCAAATAGTAAATGTTGCACAACTATGACATGTATGTAATGAGAACTGAAATTAATGTTATTGAAATTATTTAGTGTCATAAAGAGGTATAAGACTTATCCACTATGTGAAGCGTGCAAGTTTATAATAAAATCAATTTTTAAAATGTGCACATTTATTTTGATTGCTAATCCCTTTGAGTATTCTGCTAATTTTAAGTATCAGCATTTACCAATACAAATAACAATCACTGGATTTTTTTAGTTATTTTGTAACCATATTCTAGCCACGCTAACAAAATGATACTACTAAGCTATTGGTCTCGGTGGAAAAAAAATGGCAATTTTCTGCATCAAGATATCTCACCTTTTTCATCATGCAATAATTACCAGAGGGAGACTTTGTACAAAAGTCGATTGCTTAGGTACCTCTGTCCCATTCGTGTTTCAACCGTGAAGCAATTGTGTTTGTATGGCTGTGTTTCGGTTTGAAGGGTGGGATATGGCGTGAATTTACTGGGTACAGAGAAATAACACCTGAGTTCTCAGGCAACAGGAATGGCAACGCATGGGGAGTATCATGGGCGAAACAGTATACTCTGTTATGTCAATGTTACTGCTCATGTCTATAAGCAACGGTTACCACTTTCCATCAGGTGGACCATCAGCTTGTTTGCCATTTTAAGTTGTATAAAAAAATTAATAGAATGGATTTAATATTTTTTATTTAATGACTTTCGTAACATAGATAGACATACTGTATAGGTTTATTTCTCTTTACAATGCAAAAAATGCTTTGTGAAATGCAGTTTCGGGTTTTATTCCTAGTTGGTCCCATTTGGGAAAGGGATTTTCATAAATGGCTCAAGTCTGGATGTTCTGAGTAGTACTCCCAGACGTTCTGGCTGGTCTCTTATAAAACTGGTTATTCAAGTATGAGATCCAGATGATCGGTGTAATTGTATAGCGCATAATATATAAAATTATATTTCTATAAAACTTAAAAATTAATAAAATTACTAAGCAAAAAATTTAATATTTGAATTAAGTATGTACTTACTTGACGCAGAAAACGTGGAAAGGACTCGTTAAAAATCAACCACTATGTATTTAATATCCATAGTTTATTTAATTCACTAATTACTTATATAAATTACTGATAACAGCCATATAGCCAAAAGTCAATTGCTTGGGTACCTCTGTCCCATTCGTGTTTCAACCGTGAAGCAATTGTTTGTATGGCTGTGTTTCGGTTTGAAGGGTGGGATATGGCGTGAATTTACTGGGTACAGAGAAATAACACCCGAGTTCTCAGGCAACAGGAATGGCAACGCATGGGGGGTATCATGGGCGAAACAGTATGCTCTGTTATGTCCATGGTACTGCTCATGTCTATAGGCAACGGTTACCACTTTCAATCAGGTCGCCGGCAGGTGGGCCGTCAGCTTGTTTGTCATTCTAAGCTGTATAAAAAAAAATTAACAGAACAGTTCTTATAAACTTTGATACAGTTATCTTATCGATATCAACACTAAACTACATGTGTAATAAATACTTACTTCACCATTAAAGATTAAAATAAAACCAATTTACATTACTAAGGAATATATTTCAGTAATTTTCAATACTATGTGTATGATACATCACATATTGTAATTTTTTTTATACAATTTCATCATTTCCATTTATATTTCAATTACTTTGATGTATCTTTAAGTAATTATTATATTTATATACAATTTGAATGAAATAATAATAGACAACGATAAAATAATTGTTTATAATTATTCTTAATATTACGATTTAAACATCAAATACATAAATAAAATTTAATAAAAATTTGTGAATTGTAAATGAAAAAAAAAGTACATTCTATTAGAAATTTATAATTACAATTTTTAACTAAACAAACTAACACAAAAATACTAGAAGAATGAAAAATAATGGCGTCAAGATGTTATTTTCAGTTTTGATTTAAATCTTTCGAATATGGAAAATAATAACCGTAATGTTTTCAGTTTACTTTGTATTTTATAGTATCAAAAGTAACAGTAATAGATCTAATCAAAAAACACGTGGCGCAAATATACCAAAAATAATGTCATAAGATTATAAATATAAAAAAGAAAAACTTTTATTTTAAAATTAATTTACTGCCCTTGATGTGTTTTCTATTGCCGTAAATTCCAGAAAGTTGCATACACACCTATTGTTTACATCGTTTATTTTACATTGTTTACACGCAATCTGTGACTCGCCTGAAATCTTTCAGATGTGTATAAAATAATTTTTATACCAAATGCAAAATTTTTAATTTAGCTGAACTGAAAATCATCAATGCATGCATGAAATCAGTCAAATAATAACTATAACGGCAAAAAGGCAATTCTTAATGTAGGAACATCTATATAGGTACATGTGACAACCATGCCTCAAATTGTTTATTTCAAACCCCCATTGCTTATATTTAACCAGGAATAAGCGAGATATCAAAGTATGTAAGTAAGAATACAAATTCACAAGGGAACAAAGAATCTACCAATAGACCAGTGGAAGAATAAAACTAAAAACCCTATACCAGACTATTTTGTCTAGTAAAGACCTATTGTTCAACACTACTGCCCAGCATCAAGACACTTATTGGTTATGATGTTAATGATCATATACAGCTGCCCTCAACAAGTATCTATTAAAGATAAGTGGAAATAACCACGTATATTATAATGTACAATCAATATTTTCAAGTGCTGTTTTTGCATTATTCATATTGCATTATTCTCTTTTAATTCAACACAGAAATAAATTATACATTATATATACAGTGTTGTTGCTTTAAGAGCTTAAAAATAGTCATGTGAAAAATTATCAAACTCACTGAATCAGTTCAAACTTGTTTAAAAAAAAAACAACTGTGATTATATGATGTATGTAAATAGTTTTTTTTTCTTTTCTATTTATTTACATAGCATTCGACCACAAAAAATGTATCAAAATGTTCTCTACAGTCAATACGTTTTTTGTTTTACAATTAATAATAAGTGTTTCTAAACTAACAGAGTGTAGTTAAAAAGAAATTAAAAGAGCAAGAAATTAGCATTGATACACTTATTCAATTAGCCTTTTTGAACCACCTATTATTATTATTCAATGTAGAAGAAGCATTTATATACTATTATAAGAAATATAAAGCATTCCGAATAACCATGTATATTCTCCGTTCAGATTAATATCAGAGTGAAATAATCACATAATTGAACGTCATAAATAAACGATTACATAAACGTAGGTAATAATCATATATAACTATTAGAAAAGTGAGACAAGAATAATATTTCAAAATGACATTCCAATCTATCACTGTACTGTGCATCCAATTAAAAGTTGAACTTCAGATTATTATGTACCAGTTTATGTATCCATCTGTCAAATATAGACTAATTGGGGAGTATTAGCTACCTGGAAACCAACCAAGGTCTTACTTGTCTTATGTACTCATCTGGACACTTCTATCTTGAATTTTTTTACTGTGAAATGTTTGTTTCGATTTCAAAGGCAATGTTATCACATCATATAGGTATGGCAACACATGACTCCTAGCATGGATTTCACAGTAATCCAACTAATTTTACGCTTGAAAAACCTTTAAATTTTCCTTTTTCAATGTGTTTGTCTGAACTTGTAACATTCATCCACATTGTTTTTCGCCTGTAGAGATGGTATGTATTCAATATTTATGATTAAATTTGGAATGCACTGAAACCTTAAATCACTGAATTTTGCATATTGCAACATTGTACGAACCCGAATGAATACATGAAAATTTAATTATTATAAATAAAATTAATTAAACTATCTTAGTTTAGGTCTACACAGATAATTTTATTTCCATAATCAATAAAAATTATATTATATCTAAATTAATTTAAAACTTAATTTAACACATAGGTACATACCATTATAATAAAAATTTACAATTTCGCTTGCAAGAGCATATTTTAATCGAAAGAATATAACCATCATATACATAATTTCACCAAAGATAAAATCAACTTATTCAGTATTAAATTTCGTAAGTTTATTCTGCAATAATATATAATTAAACCATAAGTAAATTTTATAAAAATGTTGAATAAAATCTGGTCTAGGCAGCATACTATGACATAATCTTACAATAATACCAGACGAATATAGTACTAACGAGAAAATTTAAAATATACAAACACTTTGTGCCATTAATAAAAAAAATATATAATCATTTAGAAATCGCACTATAGCCATTTAAACTAAAATTCAAAATGTAACATGAAAGGCGAAGTATTACCGATATAACAAATTTTAGTATCAACAAAAATTTGTTCTGAAAATTACAAATAATTTTATTTAAAAACATACTCACCTTGATGACAACACCACATTACAAAGAAATGTGAATACAAAAACAAATGTAATACTGATTAAATAAGATATAATTCTTAGCAAATCTAGTGGCAAACATGTTTGTAAAAAAATATTTTTACCAACGACGACAATGAGAAAAACTATTTATTTTGACCTATTCATTGTTTTATGTTGTCACCGCCGTAGTGACCCCCAGTTAAATAACTGAATTTTATTGGGCTATTGGGTTGCCTATCTAGTGATTGAGAGATCAGACTATAATAACATCTGATTTAGTTTTGTGAATTCCAGATAAGTGTATTTAGTGCACGTTACCGCTATTTAGTGAATGCGGCAAATACGGCCCACATGATTTCGCAGGCGTCGGGCCTCATCGCTTCAGCTTCAAAATCTAAATCGAGGAGAGAACGCACACGTCGCGTCGCTAACTCGTAGTCCTCGTCAGATAATGGCGCGAATGCGTTCTCGAGGACGTCCGCTGAGTGAGCTAGCATCAACAGTGCTAGTGAGCGCTTATCAGCGTGAGCTACGTCGGTTATAGAACGGCGTAAAGCTGCTTCCTGAACCTACAAACGTATGATGCGAAATTGTATAAATATATAATGAAAGATACCAAGATAAATATACTAAGAGATAATTATATGAATATGACAACATTGCATTACTCTGGAATACAGTCATATTCACATATTGCATATTATATTATATGCATAGAATTTAAAATTTTGACTAGTCATCTTTAGTATTTTATTGCTACTTTTTTTTTAAATAAAATATATATTTTTGTATTGTATTAGCCGTTAACTGTCTACTGCTGAACGTAGCCTTTTTTTAATATATATTCATATATTATTAATGATAATAAAACTTACTATATATGTTTCAAATAACTATTATTTTTAATGATGTCTCCGCTTTCTTTGTCTTTGTGTGACATGATAAAAGTATCTATTTATATACAGTGTAGGCATACAGCAAACCAATCAGTTTTTTTAAACAAAGAGAAAATATTGAATGCGTGTAAGAAATCCTCAGGAAGAATGTCATGTGTTACCGTTCTCCATGATATTGTAAAAGGTGATTAAGAAAAAAAGAACTGAATATAGCTACCCGCGTGAGAAAATAGAAAAATTCTAAATATGATTTCTAAACTAATTTCCAGCGAGACAATAATAAGTACTTATATGCTGGGGAGAGGCCCATGGTCAGTATTAAAGGTCTTGCTTTGTTCAACAATAGTGTTTTATTTCTATAAAACACTATTGTTGAACAAAGCAAGACCATTCCCAATTCATATAGTAATTTTTTTTTTTTAATAAAATATTATATTCTGTTAGTTGACAATTTGTTCTACTAAGGACTTCGGGTTGATTTCCTAGGATAAAAAATAGCCTATGTCCTTTTCCATACCCAATCATATTAGTACATGAATGCCAAATTTCGTAACCAGTTGTTAAGAAATTTGCCCTTAAAGTGCCAAATTTATAATATATTATTAGAAAAGATTTGAAAACTATTTTAATACCCATGAATAATTTAAGATTCCCAAATGCAAAGAATTGAAAATTTCTAAATTATTAACAGGTTGAAAATATAGTCTTATCATTTTACAAGACAATATATATCGTCTATATTATGTTGTAAAATGATAATTCACAATAACTCTTTTTATTGAGTTCTTCCTTTAATCTATAATAAAAATATTAATGTTATAACCAAAAACATAAAAATAATAATTTGAACTTCAATGTGGCTTTAGTAATATGACTTCTAATTAATAGTTGATTATTAATAATACATATAAAATGTTGCATGCCAAGCTGGCTGAATGTCATGGTTACACAAAATGTATAATGTTATCTAAACTTACCACATTCATCGCAATAAATTTCATTTCATTTCATAATTAATAACATCCAAGTTTGGATATGTTCTTGATGGAATTTCCAAGTTCTTGATGGAGGCCTATGTTCAGCAGTGGAAAGTAAATCGCTGTTATGATGATGATGAAATTTTAATGACTTCTAATTTTTATATTCTAATTTTGTTATATGAATTTATGTATATTAGAGAATGTTAATGTAGAGAAATATTTGTTTTTATAATTTATGTCAAAGAATGTTATTGTTATGAGCAGTGTTGTATTGCAAAGAAAACTGTACTGATTCAGATATTAGGAACTTATTTTATAAACTATGCTGGCAACATTATCAATGTGCTGAGTAATGCATAAAAAATAAAGATGAAAACCTAAATACCTTTTTAACTAGACGACATTTCACCACATTATCAGTAAGAGGATGTGTAGTCATATCAAATAAAAGAAAATTCTGTTTCTCTGTGGTTAGAACACCTTTTTCAACAAGATTCTTTGCCAGCCTTTCTCGAACATTTTTCAATTGATATTTGAGTTTCATAGGATTCCAAGTTTCACCTAAAATTAATTGACCAAATTAATAATGTAGCACTTCACTACAATTCCATGAATATAAATTGAGAAATTATATTTTAAAGAGTATAGGTACAAGTAAAAAAGAGTATCCATAAAATTATTTTTTTTATAAAAAACAAAAAAATATATTCACATATTTCACTAATTAGTTCTTTTGATTTTAGTAGGGTTTATTTCAGATATAAAAAAAATATGATTAAACCATTTATACAAATAATATACTTGCATTTTCAATTTAAAATAAAAAATAATAAATGTATATATCAGAATAACCAATATCACATACCACTTAAATATTCTATCCAACTTTGAACAGTCTCTGGAGGGTCAGTATCTTTCATATGCTTCAAGGCCTCATCTAAAAGCACATCACCAGTAGGTGTATCTGAAAAAGTATAAAGAAAGTTCAAACTAATAAATAAATATTACGAACACACACACACACACACAACCTTATGTAAACCTAATAAACATTTTGAAATCATGGATCATTATTGTTAATTTTAATTCATATTGTTAATAGTTGACTGGTAGAAAAAGATATTAGTGTTAAGGCCATCATATATACACTTATATGTGTATTAATTAAACTTTAATACACAAATATAATATATAAATTTACATAAATAAATTTGTAAAATTTTTTTTTTTAGATTTACTATATTAACAAATGTTAATACTTCTATTGCTGCTATTTCTAGTTTAGCCTTTAGTGCTAGTAATGATTATTAACAAGGAGATACTACTAATATTATAAATGGGAATAATATTAATAAATACACCTATAATACAATTATTTATAATAGTTGTCTATAATACATTTATATACAATTAGTAATAACAGTAATAAATACATCATAGTAATTACAATTTATTATTAATTTGGAACATAAATATTAATTTTATACTAAATATCAAATTAGTCATTGAACAGGATCATTTTTATAAGTATGTAATACCTATTTCAGAGTTTAAAATGCTTGATAAATTTGTTACAATTATTATTTTTCATACCTTATCAAGTGATGATGCCATCTGATAAGACATCAAAAATACTAATTAACTACACCACATTGATTTATTGATACTAATAAATTGTCTTATTGATAAAAATTAATAAAGTTATTTTCATTTATTATATATGGTATATAATAAATGAAAATAATTTTACTAAATTTGTTAGATTATTAAAAAAGCTTTTTCAAAATAAGGCCTATTATCATATAAAAGAGTGTTGTTTCAAAAATGAAATGACAAACATTGGTCCCGTTTTTGTTCTTTATTAGCCGCTTCCTACATATTTACTCAGATGCATAAATATATACCGCATGTTAAGTTGGACCTGCTAGTGGCATGCTCAAGCATTAGGTTTCATGCAGGTACATGCAGTCTATTGACAGTGATTGGTTAACATATATACAAATATCAAAATTTTTATAAATTTTAAAACTTTTTTATAAATTTTCAAATTTATACTTAATAGTAGGATGTCTATTTCTCACATTCCCATTACAATGACCAAACAATAGATATGTGTCAATTTGTACTATATTTGTTTATGTAGTTAGTATGAATACATTAGAGAGTAATATAATAAATACAATTAATTATTCTTTTGCAATCAATCATAAGCATTTTACAAACAACTGTTTTATTATATTAGTAATTCATAAATTTACAATTATCTTTCTCTTTGAGAAAGTAGTGAAAGTTAGAGCACCAAAACATATAACATAAGCATAAATTTTCTACTGTTTACTTTAACAAAAATAAATATAAGCATTAAATAGGTCACAGTAAGCAATTATTTTAAATATTCTCACCTGACTTAACAATAACTTTTCTAGATAGTAATCCTTTTCTCCTCATACCTGCCCTTTCTAATTCTACACGACCACGTAAACCCAATTCAATTAAAATACATCCTCTTAAACCACTGGATATGCAGTCGTTCCAAAACGAAGTGTAACCCTGAAACAACCATCACAAAGTTATTTGAGTCACAATCATAGTAGTCTACCTCTTTTAATGAAATTTCTTGAGTATCTACCTCCTTGTCTTTTAGTCCTAAAAGTAATACTTCTTCCATTAGGGTCAATCTTGTTTCTTTTGAGTCCCCGTCATCATAACTTTTATCGTTTTTCTTATCGTCGTCGTGGTTTTCCTTTAGAGTTCCGTCAGAATTGCTGTCCTTTATAACGTTTCTTCGTTGTACTAAGCCTTCGGTTCGATTCATATTGACATTTATTAAGATTACAAACTTATAACGAATTGATTATAGACAGTAAAATATTATTTAATGTTATTTCTTTAGAAAATGAAAAATAAATGAATGATTGACGTTTACTAGACGACGTATAAACATGGCCGACCAATAATGTACGTTTCGTTTTACGTATGGTAGATAACAAGTGAAAGTATGACAGTTTACTTTTATTAATTGGATTGGCGACTCCCCTAGTGTCTTTAATGTCCATAGGCTGCAGTGATTACTTACCATCTTCACCTGAATAAATAACATGCATGTTTGTCGCCTTTCACATAAAAAAAAAACACAAAATGAAAAATACGTAAATTAACATATTTACAGATTTTTTAATAATCTCAAACATACATACGATTTAGTTTGTTATATTATAAAAAGTGTGCTATGTAAATTAAAATTGTTATTAAATAGAGCGCTATGCCAAAAACTAAAGCAAAAACTTTGAATTACTTGCAATCATAGAAAGAAAATTCCATGCCACTATTTTTAATGCAACACTGAAAAAAGGGTGCGCGCATTGTTATTATGTTTAAAACATAGACTTAGTACAGTAAAACGTATTGTGTACGACGTAGTGATTATTTGTTCTATGTTGTGTATTTATTTAAAAAAAATACACGTCAGTCCTTTAGTCAATATTAGATACTATTATATGAACTGCAGATACTATGTTTAATCTATGCTATTGCGACTACAACTACGACTCCTATCAAAGCGTTTAAATTGATCTATACAGGAACCATTGGAAACGTAAGGACTTTTTTAATGAGTGAAAATGGTATGATAATCCCGAGGTGAGGATGAAAGGGCAGATCAGTTAGCCCATCGTGACGAATTCAACAATAAATAAGTTACGATAGTTTCCAGGCGGAACCACGTGGAGGTCGACCTGATAGGGTATATTGATAGCAATGGGGACTAACCTCCCCATTACTAACAATCCTTTTCCCCCAACGTAAGGACTAGATATCCTTAATTATCAGAAGATAGCGACCAGGGTTTTTTAATAATGATCCCAAGCATAGATAGTACCTGTGACTCTAAGCCAAATATTTTAGTTCTTCTGCGAGCCCTTATTCTTATTGAGAGGCCCAAGTGTATAAAAGTGCTTACAAAGCAACTTATCACTATACATCCACACTTTAACTTTGATGAGTCCAAATGTAATGAACGCCTGACAAAAAATGTTAGCAAGTGTGAGAACTTTAACAATATTGCGTATTTTTCTCTTCCATTCATTTTGGTATTAGTGTGAAACTTGCATCTAAAAATGGGATTTAAAGATACGATGAATAAATGAATGAAGAATGGGGGATGAATCTTTACTATTCGGTTACGTGGAAAGACTTAGTTTTAATCTTCTAAAATTATAGTTTTAAAGCATAGGCGACTAATGAACTTAGAGGGGTCGGTGAGAAGTTAACTCGGTTTGATTAATTTGACTCGTTTTGAACTTATACATATTTCAATTTATCTAGATCTATATCAGCGACGGCTCCTATACTCTCGATTAGGTGGTTCATCAACTCATTTATCACCGTTACTCTGCCAGTAATTTAAAAAATGAAAATAGGAAGGTTTATTATCACAAATATACATTTTAATTTGACCATCGAATTGCTTTTTACATCAGTACCATTTGTTCATATAGATATGTGTAAAGTATGATTCCATAGCTATGTCAATAACAAAACCTTATCGTATTTATACGATAAGGTTTATGGCAGAGTTGACTTGGAATCAATACGGTAGGTGCTCAGTTAAGTCTCGTGAACTGGTTGACCCAAGATAAACGAGACGGAAAATGCAATATTATCCACTTCGCAATTTATTTATTAGTAGTTGTAGGCCGTTGCTTTTTTAGCAATAATCCCTAACGGAGTAATTATTATTTTTTTTTATTCTTGTTTACATTGCCAATCTCAGGTCATGTAAATGATGAATATAGGTATGCAGTAATAAGTGAGACTGCGAAATAAAAGAGCGAGTAGATGATGAGCCACTATGAAAAGAGTCTTCACTGTAAAGAATTTTATTAAAACATTTACAGGTATGAATTTTTTTTATGTAATAAAAATCTGATGTGTATTTCCCGCATTGCTGTATCTATTGCTTTTGACTTTTCGAAATATGAGTTTCGAATTTTGATTATTCGAAATATGAGTTTATTCACGCTGGGGTGTTAAAATGTTTTCGTGTATATTATTGTAGATCTCTATATTTAGCACGAAATTCACATTCGACTCCAAACGTTACGAAATTGTAAATTTCTGAGGACTGCAACAAAAAGAAAAGGTTCTGAATTCGCCTGTATTTGTTTTTTGTTCTATTTCTAATTTTGATAATTTTTTTAAAGTTTATTACATACTGCTGCTGTGGGTAAATATTACATATAATACATAGTTAAAATTAGTCACTAATGAAGTTTCCTAGTTTTTGTGTTATTTCCATTTATTGTCCATGTTACCTTACGTACTTACGTAACAAAAATAATCTTTTAATCAAATTGAGTCACAAAACAAAACCCATAAATTTTAAAATAATCATTGAAATCGGATAAAGATGAGTTTACGGATACACTTGGCGCTAAATAATAAGATTACAAACATTGCGGTTACGAGTATGGGTAATTTTATTTATAAGTAAAGATAAGATATTCACTTGGTTAATATTCGGATTCCCTCCAAATCTTTGTACCTACGATGTGGTAATCACGTAGATATCCAAAGCTAGAACTGTATTTTATCAGTTGGGCTGAGAAACAGCGCGCGTGTATGTGGTACACACGTCGCGCACCCAGTGATCTGCACGGTTGTTTGCTGAAACGTGCTGCGTGAAATTGCGTGACGCGTGTAACACCGAATATAATGGAAAACGAGCAAAAGGACACCATGGTAAGAACCACCATAAATGTCTGTCTATAAAAAGATATTTTAAACGAGCCCTTTAACACAGTTTTGATGCATTTTGTTATAAAAGTACGCATGTTTCATTATTGAACTTTATACTTGCTCATACGACTTATACTCTCCTCTCGTAGACGTTAATTATTTCAATGCAAAATAAGCCGTATAATAAAGTAATAGGGAAGGTTAATAATAAATATGCATGGCAAGTATACTGTACACCACCGTGCGTGTACCGACCGCGTAGGCAAAACGCCAGTTGGCTGCCGCAGTCGCGTGTCTCGGTCGCAGACAGAAACCTGTGTTCATTGCCGTAGCGACCTCTATACGGGATCATAAACATGCTGTCATATTATTTGTTTTACAAGGAATATTTTCTATAACGTGAAATGTTAAAAATTTGTGATACATCAGGTGTGTTGGATTTCTAATACTTACATAGTTTTCATAACTGAAAATATCTGAATATTTTTTAAAATCGAGAAATTTCTCTTATTATATAAATAATTGGAATTATTTTGTGAAATAATTTTGAAATGGTATGTAAAATAAATTCTAATGACACTTAATGCATGCGTAACTTCATCTATAAATTCTTAATCTAATGCATTTAAAGTATGATAATATCAAGGTTTATTTATAATAATGCTTCATCACTAAATAACTCATTAAATATAGGGTCGCTGTATACGGCAGTCATAAAAGCGCGTATCTGAAAATTTTATAGGAAAAATTAATTTATGTAGACGTATAAAAAATGCTCGTAATTACGATACAAGTAATGTGGAGTAAATCGCCTATTAAATTTTCGTAATATTACTAATTAACTCCATAAATTAATGAATACCTCTGCGTGAAACTAAGAACGTTGAATCAAACTCACTTGAAATCCCGTTCGATTTTTAGTTGGTCTAATTTAGGAATTGAATTTTCGTATTGTTTTGTGTGGTGTTGTAGATATTAGTTGTCCAATTTCTTCTAATACTCTAACTTTAAGGCAGAAAAAAAAATACGATTGTGTGGCATTTATTTATTACCAACAGAATTCAGTGGTTTTACCAGTTTGAATGAGGATTTTAAGTATCATGCATGTGCAATAAAATGCATGGTTTATCTGTGTATCGAATTTCAACCAAATTCATTTAGAAGTGTATGCGGGATCAAGTAATAAACACGCCAACACCTTTTCATTTCTATATCAATAAAAATTAAAAGCTTTTGGGTGGGAAAATTACCAATTGAAACCGTTTGAATCGATTTAGTTTCTTTCTTAGTTTAGACAGGAAAATTCTTTAATAATTTAATAATGAATTCATTTATTTAAATGTGAGAGTTTGTAGTTTATTTTTCATAAGAGCTTAATCTTATTAAACCAGCTAAATGCTCATAAAAGACTGACGATGACGATGTCCTAAATTAATACACAAAATTTTTATCCACTAAGTAATTCTGTATTTAATTTACAATTGAAATAGATGATATTAAGAAAACCTAGTGATCAGGATGGGAAATGTCCATCACAAATTTTTTGTATGTCTACCTACTTGTACATAAAGATTACAAATTACGTGTATTTCTCTGTCAATGTTTCTTCAACTCTGTACAGGAATATATTATGTAACTATTGAGGAAGTTATGGAAGTTGAAATGTTATGTGATAATTTATATACCTATCTTGTTATAATAAAATATAATAATAAATAAATATTGTTTTCCAATATTTTCCAATTGCATAGCACATACGCGCTATGCAATATTGGTCAAGTCGAGCTGTTGTCCGTTATTATTAGTAAATACCCGTTAGTTGACCGTGTAATCGAAATTAACATACTTCCATGAATTTTGTATCTATTTATGTGCCTGTTAGAACTCATAAACCAACTACGTGCTTTAATATCGTGATAATAATAGTTTCGCAAAGCATGTTTACCTATGACTTCAGATTTGATAGGTAGGCAAATAATATAGATATATACTTAATATTTTACACTTACATAGTTATATCTAACATATTTATTATTAATAACAACCTAGATCAACAGCTAAACTTACTACTTTTTAAGTTATTAATAAAAATAAATATTTATATTGATAATTCTAGTGGGTAAAAAATACCTCAACTACACTTACGTAAATAAAGTGGGTATATTGTAGATATGAAGTTACTATCACTTATTAATACATTGTTGTAAGCTAATCTTCAATCATCCATATTTTATTGATTAACACAAAAAATATCCCATTTATTATTATCACAAACTAGGTAGGTAAGATAACTTTCTAAAAAGCAAAACATATTTTTATTCTCGTTGCTCTGTATAGAAATCGCATACATTTGATGGAAAATGAATTGCTTCACTGATTTTATTAAGATTTGAATACGAAATATCTACATTGATTAAATAATATTAATAAAATTAAATAATTAACAGTGAAAGTTATGTGTATTGAGTGTGACCTTAATAATAAAATTGGTAAGTTAAAATTATAAAAGCAACTCACTACACTAGTCTGTTTATTTCTCCACTTTTTTAAACCACGCAACAGATTTCGTACAGACGGAAACTCGTAGTTTCACTGTTACATAGTTACACAGATATGTGTTTTTTAGGATTTTTTATAAGTATATAAATTCAATGTTTCGTAATCAATTGCACTTATACAAAACCGCAACAGATTGCTAGTATCCTACGAATTTCATCAGAGGGAGACTTTGTACAAAAGTCGTTTGCTTGGACACTCCTGTCCTATTCATGTTTCTATCGTGAAGCTGTTGTGTTTGCATGGATGTTTCGGTTTGAAGGGTGGAATATGGCAGTGAATTTACAGAGTATAGAGGTATATATAACACCTGAGTTCTCAGGAATGACAACACATGGATGGTATCGTGGGCGAAACAGTATACTCTGTTATGTCCATGGTACTGCTCATGTCTATAGGCGACGCTTACCACTTTCCATCAGGTAGGCCGTCAGTTTGTTATCATTCTAAGTTGCATAAAAAAACAAGAATTAACTAATAAATAATCTATATAAAATAAGAGAGGACATGTTTATTTAAAATATTAATAAAAAAAACAAGTTTTCAAATTTATGGTAAACATTTTTAATCGACGTATAATAAATGTTTTATATTATACTGGATATAATTATGTATATATATATAAAAAAACGCTAAAAACCGAGTCAGGGGTTGTCAGAAGTATAGAGATTGAATGTCTGTACATTAAAAAAACACTAAAAACCGAGTTAGAGGGGTGTAAGAAGTGAAATAGAATACATCCAGATTTATTAAATTGTTTCTGTCTGTTTGTCTATTTGTACGGGCTAATCTCCGAAACTGTTGGTTCGATTTAAATGTAATTTTGCATGGTGGTAAATTATTTTCCCAGTCAACATTTTAGATACTTTTAATTACGGAAAATTAAAGAGTTCCTGTGGGATAATTAAAAAACTATAGTAACTTATACAGCTTAGTTCACAACTTTCTGAAGTCATTTTGGCCTAAAACAAATAGTGAGAACGACACGTCATTTATTAATTTTGTTCCAGTATTCTCAGATATAGTAAATAGGTAGGTACATATATCAATACATACTAAATAGGAATAACAAATACCACGCGGACAAAGCCGCGGTTATCAGCTAGTAATAAATATGACAGCTTAGGGGGAGTTGACTGATAAGTAATCCTATTGACCGTGACGTGGTAATGTAATAGACTATAAAAAAAATATAAATTGCACTTTAATCTTGAGGACATGAGAATCCTTGCAAATAAATTCTCATTATTAATTATTCAAATTTAGAATTCACGAATACACAGCTTAATGATGTGTTCGTTTAAAAAAAAATAGGCTTAATCGAATTTATAAAAAGGAATAGGTACTTTATTAATGTTGTTTGATGAATTATCTTGATTACCCATTTTATAATTTCAGTAAATTGACATTGTTTTTATTGTTATAAGTCATTATTACTTTAATTTATATTGTACATACCGATATGGTAGAATGTGGAATAGTGGACATGTAATTATTATTTTCATCTAATGTATGTACCCATATTCGTGCAATAAATGATTTGAATTTGAATAAATTATAGTAGTAATCGGTTCAGTACTTACTCAGTATTTACTCGTCACAATGTCACAAAAAGTCAAAATGTGACATTGTGATGTGTAAACAAACATACATTTACTATTGTAACTTTCATGAGCGAACTAATTTACATTTTACGGGTTTATTAATTTACAAGTGTACGCCCCACGGCTTTGCCCACGTGGATACATTGTACATGATCTTGGTCAAGGCGTCATATATTATATAAACATCTCCTTTGTAGAAATGCACTATATTAATCATGAACGAGTTTATACTCCGTCTCGCACTTGGTCGATTATCGGGTGACTGTGTCTACCTTTTTTGAGAGCTGAATCCGCGGGCATTCCAAAAAACCGGAATGGAAAAGAATATAAAGTTCTCAATGTATTTTTTTTTTATGAAATACCTACCCACCCATTTTATCTTTTGGTAATCCGATTTCAAAAATTATTTATGTATTGGAACTATCTATGAATAAGTGTTTAATTAATAATAATATAAATGTTAAATATGTCGCTATAATGACATAATTTAAGTTCTGTAATTCGTTGAATTTAGAGTACGTTGTTCTTTTCCCAAAATAAACTTACTGTAATGATTGTCTCTTAGATTATATAATATAGATATATAATCTTTGAGATAGACCAATAAATGTAAAAAACGTGTCAACTTTTAGTCAGCCATACGTCAAATTGACTGACACATGTTTTTCTTTTTAAATCAAAACAATCGCGCATCAATTTTGCAAGTATGTAATTAGATTCAAAATTGCCCAGCTTTTTAAATTAAAATTGGACACTATTTTTTTTAATATAATATAAATATACAAATGTACGTATTACTTACATGTAATAATTAAAATAGTAATCGTCTCTTACGACATCCAA